TTTATTTTTAGCCCACCCTCCCTGCTGTTGAAGGCATAGGACTGGGATTGTGGTTTAATGAGCTGGAAACCTGGCAGTGCAGCCCTAAATCCAGTTGCACCCTTTTAAGCATGCTGAATCGAGTGGGCTTAAAAGGGTGTAACTATGCTTAGGATCATAGTGTTAAACTGGTTTTGAATCCTGTTTCCAGCAAAGGCCAACAGGATGCTTCCGCTGGATGCAAAGGCAACAGTCCTACTCTGTTGATGATCCCAAACTTCTGATATTTAAGGCTATCCTACCTCTGTATGTGGCGGCTCACTTGCATTTGTACTACTGGTGGGATACATGTGCGTAACCCTTGGTGTCCTTTTGGGTCAGGAAACAGTGCAAGTATGAAGGCTGAAGACCCATCTCCCCCTCCCCACATTTTGTCATCCCGTGTCTGAATTGTGGGATCCATGCACCTGATATTTACTGTGTCAGTCAGAATTGGATGTGCGTAATCTGGACCACACACTTTACAAATCATAACATGTAGCTTGCTCCTAAGCAAATCTTGGAGTGTACAGAATTTGACCTAATACTGGCAAATACCTCTAAATTTGTACCTTTTGCTTGGGGAAAATGGCTTTTATTATTAGTGATTCGTATTAATGTATATATTTCTAAGAATTTGTTGTTCTCAGTTTAAAAGCTGAATTTGTATAATAAACATGCAGAGGGAGATCTGTGTTGGAAAGTGGTACCCAATTTTGGACTATTTATCCAAACAACAATTTATTTCCTCTGAATAGTCCCAATTTCATAAATGGATTTAAGGTTTTACTCTGTGTTCAACTGATGTTTCTTGTGTCGGCTATTTCTCTATACAGTTATGTTAGTAATACTTACCCTTAAGTTATAAATGGCTTTATTTTAGTTAGAAAATGCATTTATTATATTTATTATATTTTATTTTCTTTCAAATGTCAGGCAACAGTATGTTTTACTGCTGCTAAATATATATTCTCTATATTCTAAAATTTCTTGGTTTACGTATGTTTACAGGAAGCAATACAATGTTAAATATGTCACAACACATGTGATAACATGTACAAATGCATTATGTTGTTGCTTTATCTGTTACAATTATGACTTAAAACAATAAAAATTTAAATTAAAAAAAAGAGAGATGGAGATCTGTGAAACTCATACTTTAAAAATTCATGTTGAGGAAATCAGTGTACGCTGTTTGGTTAAAGTTTTCTTAATGTTGCAGTGAAGTATGATTTGGCCAGCTTTTTCTCTCCTCTTCTGTATTTTCCCTATAAAAATAATGTGGAATATGATTTCTTCTCCATAGGATCTGAAGAAGTGGGCTTTGGCACATGAAAGGTCATGCTGGAATACATGTTAATCTTTTGAGGTGCTGCTGGACTTCTAGTTTCCATAAACATATTTGGTTCATACTAGCTGAATTTTATTCCCCTGTAGCAAAGTGCTTCTGCTAAGTTGAAGGAATGTAAAATAAATATTCTTGTTTTTAGTCTTACAATGATTGAAAGATTGGAAGCCACTTTGGGACTGCTTAGGAGTGAAAAATATGGTACAAGTATCTAAATAATGCTTTGTGTTCATCCTTCTTTAGGTCTTTCTGGCACAAGACAAGTTGTATGAAACAGCAGCAAGAGTATGTGACTCTTGACAGTACAGAGGTTCAGTCCACATTGCTTCTCTGCCTTGTCCTGGCTGTAATGGGCAGTTGTGATACCTACATCTGCCTTTGCTCAGTATGGCTTTTCTGTTACATTCTACCTGAACATATAATAGACAAGAACATAAGAGAAGCCAATGTTGGATCAGGCCAGTGGCCCATCCAGTCCAACACTCTGTCACACAGTGGCCAAAAATACCAGGTGCCATCAGGAGGTCCAGCAGTGGGGCCAGGACACTAGAAGCCTTCCCACTGTTGATCCTCCTAAGCACCAAGAATACAGTGCATCACTTGCCCCAGACTGAGAGTTCCTATCTATGCCTTGTGGCTAACAGCCACTGATGAACTTCTGCTCCATATGTTTATCCAATTCCCTCTTGAAGCCATCCATGCTTGTAGCCGCCGCCACCTCCTGTGACAGTGAATTCCATGTGTTAATCACTCTTTGGGTGAAGAAGCACTTCTTTTTATCTGTTCTAGCCCGACTGCTCAGCAATTTCATCAAGTGCCCACGAGTTCTTGTATTGTGAGAAAGGGAGAAAAGTACTTCTTTCTCTACCTGCTCTATCCCATGCATAATCTTATAAACCTCGATCATGTCACACTTCAGTCGTCATTTCTCCATGCTAAAGAGCCCCAAGTGCTTTAACCTTTCTTCATAGGGAAAGTGTTCCAACCCTTTTATCATTCTAGTTGCCCTTTTCTGCACTTTTTCCAATGCTATAATATCCTTTTTGAGGTGTGGTGACCAAAACTGGACACAGTATTCCAAATGAGGTTGCACCATCGATTTGTACAGGGGCATTATGATACTGGCTGATTTGTTTTTAATTCCATTCCTAATAATCCCTATCATAGCGTTGGCTTTTTTTATTGCAGTTGCACACTGTCTCAACATTTTCAGTGAGTTATCTACTACAACCAAGAACTCTCTCTTGGTCAGGCTCCGCCAATTCAAACCCCATCAACGTGTATTTATAGTTAGGATTTTTTGCTCTAATGTGCATCACTTTGGACTTGGCCACATTGAACCCCATTTGCCATGTTGACGCCCACTCACCCATCCTCAATAGATCCCTTTGGAGTGCCTCACAATCCTCCCTGGTGCTCCCCACCCTGAACAGTTTCGTATAATCCGCAAATTTAGCCACTTCACTGCTTACTCCCATCTCCAAATCATTAATGAACAAGTTAAAAAGCATTGGACCCGGTACTGATCCCTGCGGTACCCCACTGCTTACCACCCTCCACTGAGAAAATTGCCCAAGAATCCCCCCCAAAAAATAGAAATAGCAGTTGTATTAATGTACCTATGAGCTCAGGAGGTGGCTGGGAATTTCCTCCCAGCACCCTTGAGCTTACCATCAGGTGTTAGTACATGTGCACTCTTGTCAGCCACATGGCCCATCATGGACTTAAATACTCCACATCTCTGGGATGTGGGAGTGGGTGAAAAAGGGTATCGGATCCTTGAAATAGAAACTGCCTGGACTTCCCCTTTCATATTGCTGTGCTAAGTTGAGTCTGTATGAATGTCCCTTTATTCAAAAATAAGACCACTGTGGGTGTAAGTGCATGGCAAAAGCTGCTGAGACCATTCCATAGACTATATTAGGTATCTCTGTTCTGGAACATCTGAGCAATTGGGTAGCACAGGGCAAGCAAAATCTCATCCAAAGTGTTTTGTTTCCATGTACGGCAGCCCTTCCCCATGCTTGGTCATTAAGGAGACAGATGCTTAGTGTAAAGCAAATTGTCGAGGAGAGAGGAACATGAGTAGTTAATCTTCATGGAAAAGCATGTGCAGATACTATCCACAAATGAATTCTTAACTAGGGTGCCGGTTGCCTTTTATTGGGCTGTAGCCATGTGTTCCATGAAGTGAAGAATGATCTTCTGTATGAGGCAGCCTGCTTTTTCTAACTGCGTCATACTGTCATCTGATAGTAAAGGCGACAGGGCGTCTGGCTTCCCAGTACTGCAGCAGTTGGGGGATTCAAAGGTGCCACAATAACACCACATTTGCATTTGACCATCTCTTCTATTCAGCAAACCTTTAATATGCTGTAGGTCTTGTTCTCCTTTGTTCCACTTTCGTTAATAGTTGTCCAGAAGCAAATGAGCCGGTGTGGTTTAGTAGTTAAGAATGCTTGACTAAGATCTGGGAGACCCAGGTTCAAAACCCCACTCTGCTATGGAATCTTGCTGGGTGACCTAGGTCCAGTCACATGGGGTCTCTGCCTAACCTATCTTACAGGGTTCTTGTGAGGATAAAATGTAGAAGAGGAGCATGATGTAAGCCACTTCTGGTCCCTGTTGTACAGAAGGGGAATTAAGGGTATATGAAGTGAATAAACAGTTTCCCCTCTGGGGATCATAGGAATATGCTGAGGGCGGTTCATTTTAGTTGTCTGGATAGGATCTATTTTGGGGGGGATAAACCTCTTTACAGATAAGCACAGTATAGAACCAAGAATAGAAAAAAAGAGTATATGCAAATCAAACTTTTTATAGTCATTCTGCTCTTTAGTTTAGAAAAACGATTGGCTGACATGGATCATCTTGACTTCAAATGTAAGTGTCTAAGCCCATCCTTGTTGCAGGTTCTCCAGTCTCTGTTTTAAAATATGCAAAGTAATCCCAGTAACTTGGAAAGCTGTGCAAAAACCCTGGAATAAAGCTGAACCTGGGCAAGTGTCAGTTGTCATACAAATAAAATCCTGGACTAGGACCAAGGAAACCTAGGTTGATTGCTTTTACACGCAATGAAACTGACAGAACCAGTTGTGTATACTCAGCCTAACTTTGCAAGGACGTTGTGATCCTGAAGTGGGCTCCCCCCACCAGTGCAGTTCTGATCTCCATGAAGGAAGGACAGGATTTAAATGTTTACATATGCATCATCTGCTCCCTAGGTAGGATGCCAGGCAAATAGGAACAAGCTTGATTTTTAATGGATGAGGCTACTTGGGGGGAGTGGAATAGCTTGAGCCCCCTCCCACCCCAGTGTGGTCCTCCTTTCCAAGGACACTGACCATGCAGTAGCAAGAATGCTTTGCATGTAAGATGTTCCAGATTCCAAGCAGCAGCTATTGAGACTTTCCTTTATCTGAGAACCAAGGCAAGCAGAGTAGATGATGCTAAGCTAGAAGAACCAAAGTTCTCACTTGGGAGAAGAAGACAGTTTACTATGTTCCTGACTGTGCCTCTTTTCTTCCTTCCCATGGGAAAAACTAAAGTGATACTCTTGGGAATGCTGTTGCAGGGGAGACAATATCCACCCTTCACCTAGCGCCAGTTCAATGTATTTTGCCACCCCAACCAAGGTGATTAACATATGGGGTGGGTAAGCAAGTCCTGCCCATGCACTCAGTGATGGCAGCCTCCCCACAACTCTCTCTGTCAGGCTGAACTTCAGGAAGAGGAAGTAGGTGCCCTTCCCCCCCTTGGAGTACAACCTCCACAGTGAAACCTGTCAAAACGATAGGTAAGTCAGTAGTAACAAACTCTGACAAGCTAGGCAGCAGTGTTTCAGAGACACCTTTGTGGGCTGTAATGAATGCAACTCAAGCAGCCCGCTGTTGCATTAAAGGTCAGTGCCATTTCTAGACTGGATTAACAGGGTTGTGGCTTCCAATAATGGGAAAGTAACAATCCTACTTTGTTTAGTAGCAGAAGCTTTACAAGCCTACTGTCAGTTCTTGAAAAGATGGGTGACCTGGAGGCAGCTCACAGGAGAGCTCTGAGAATGACAGAGGGCCTCTGCCCCAAATTGATCAGACTGTGTCGATCTTGTGTGATTTTCACTTCCCCCCCCCCCCATGTGTATGCCATGCCTTCCTCCAGGTGTTGCATTTGTGGTGTCATCCTTAATCTTCCATTGCAGTCCCATGAGGTAGATTAAGCTGACTGACTGAGTCGAAGGCACCCAGGGAACTTTATGGCTGGAGTAGGATTTAAAGCTAGGTCTCTCTGATCTGACATTCTGTACTCTGCCTAGAGATGTAAAATTTCCAGAAATTTGGAAGCACGGGAAAAAACCCGTTTTTTTTTTCCCGGGGGAAAACGGAAATTTTCAGAAAAATTGAAAAAAAATGCTACATTAGCATTTCTTTTGTCTTTTCTAGATTGAAAGTCATTCTGTTACTTTAGGAACATAAAATATGACTATGGACATTTTTACTTGGCATGAAATTATCACAACTAGCATATTAAAAATATAGTGCATCCAAACAGTTATTACAAACAGAATACCCACCCACATGCAAAAACAAAACTGAAACTTTTTTATTTTCTTCTGACAATCGCATCTCCTAAAGGAAGAAACGCATCTTGTTCTTGCATTGGAGAGTTCAGTTTGTAACCTAGGACTTGCTTGTTCCATAATCAATTTCTTTTCTTTTCTTTTTTCAATTTTTCCAATATTTCGGAAAAAACAAAAAGGCTTCAGGAAAAAAAACGGGGGGGGAACGTCCCCCCGCCCCCCGAATTTTTCCGTTTTTTTCCCGGGCCTTCACATTTCTAACTCTGCCCCATGCTGGTTTTCCCACAAGCAGCCCCCTGGGTAAGTATAAAAAAACTCGTAACCACCACCCTGGTGCTGATAATAATAATAACTTGCAGGGCCTAAAAGACAAAAGGAGCCAAATTTTGCTAGTTGTCTCTTAGTTCTTGCCTTGTCGCTTGGAGGGAGATTCTTGCTTGCTACTGGTGACCAGGTGAATGGCTCTTTGCAGGCAAGCACACATATCTGTTCATGGTTCCTGCTTGAGAATTCCCAAGAGCCGAATCCTTTCTGCTTGTTGCTTTTTTAGCTTAACACATTCACTGATGTCAGGTCTAGCCAGGGGCTGGGCAAAACACCGTCCATGACAAAACACATCTCTGCTTTTCGAAAGCAGTCGGGTTAGAGTCTCCAAAAACATGACATTGGAGTGAGAGTGGAGGTGGCACTTGGGGGTAGGGTCAGCAAACTGGATTATTTCCCCCAGATCTTGTGAATCACCATCTGTAACCTTGGCATGGTTTTTGTCTCAAACATTGCAGCCTTTTTCAGTGCCTGTCTCCCACTGCAACAGAACCAATTATGGGTACCCAGAGGGACCCCATCCAAGGATACCCTGGTTGTTTGGCTCTGGGCAACCTTCCAGCGGTCATAAGGAAATCTATCCCAGCCAAGTCCTTGGTGCCTTTTTTGATGCTGGAATTTCTCCTTCTTGACTTGAGCTCATGTCTCTTGCACAGCAAATGTCTCCCCCCTGCTCCCCCCCCCTTCAGCAGCTGTTGTGCTTGCTTACCTACTGACCTAGCCTGTCACATTGGCAGGGCACAAGCCCAGCAAGGAGAGGGTGGTAGACAGTGTAGCATTTCTCTTCTAAGCAGTCTCTAGCTTTTATGGTGTTGTCTTTCATTTGCAGGCTAGCTGATTGCTATCTAGCAAGGCAATATTGCTGACGCACCAAGCATTTTTGAAACAAGTGGTCTGACAGTTCTGGGGGTTACTGCTCTGTTTGTACCTCTTTGGGGGCACTACCAAAGTCCCCTGTCAATTTTACTTGTGCTAATGCATTGTCAGTTTGCAACAATTAAAACTAGCCCTGTCAAGAGCTAAGTTACCGGGAAGGTGGGTACTCAAACGTAGCCTTAGGGAAACAAAACCTGGCCTGCCAAAGAAGTCCCTACGTCCAGCCTTTGGATCCTCACATCATCAGGAGACAGGATCTTGTTAGGTGGAATGGTAGGCAGACAGCTGTTTTCCCTCCGCAGAACTTGTTCACTAAAAGTAGTCATGAGATTCATGATGCATTTTAATTAATGTCTGTATATTTTGCTCTCCCTCCAAGGCTATCTTAGGGAGTCCTAGGTAGGATTTATCTCATTGTATCCTCACAACAGCACAGTGAGGTAGGGTAGCTTGAGAGTGTATGGCTGGCCCAAGGCCACCCAGTGAGCTTCATGGCTTAAACAATCACTAAAACTGCAGTCTTCTCAGCTGAAGGTCAACACTCTGCTTGCTCATTCCAAGGCAGAGTGGTGGCTAGAGAAGTACTGTGTGCCTATGGGTGCCATGGCAGCCACTTCCCTCTTCCCCAAAGCTTGAGTCCCCCGAAGCAAAAAATCAGTCCTGGCTTTCTGCTTCTTGAAGCAGGAGATGCTTCAAAAGAGTCCTGGAGTCTGCAGGGAAGCACCCATTCAGAAACAGCTGCCTCCATCCCAGGACAGCACTTGGCTTGCAACCAGCCAGCATTTTGTTATTTTTTCCCCAGCACCCCCTGTGGTGGTGCCCACTGCCCTTTCTCATAATTCCGTAAGTGCCCACAGGCTCAGCAGAGTTGGGGAGCCATGTACTGTGTTGATGAATAAGAAATCAGTATGCCTTGATTTAACTAAACTCTGTCCTCCTAATCGCTGTATGACCATGTGATAATCTTCATGGGTTGTTATCTTTTATTGTGCTGGGTGATCATACTCTAGGCTCAGAGGTGATAATCCTAATTACGTGATGTTTGTCTCTTCAGTGGGGCTTGCAGAATTGCGGCTCTCAAGCTGCAGTTCAGAAAGCTCTAATGGTGGCTTTTAAGCACACAGAATGAACTTTTTTAAAAAAAGACCCCTAACTTTGGTGTAGCTGGCTTGTGAGTTCATCCTCTTGGTTCCCAAAATCAGCTCCTTCCCTTAACTTGCATTTTAAACAATTAGCTTCTTCCCTTGCCAGGTTGGCTGTGGCAATCTCCTGATTGTGGGATTTCACCACATACCCCGACCCAGTTCTTTCACTTGATGGCTTTCTGCATTCTTTGATAACCTGAGCTGATGAAAGGGGATTTATTTCACTATGTCTCTCCCTTTTCCCCATTTTGCAGGCGACTGCAATGTCTGTGGACTGTCTTGGGCAACATGCAGTACTTTCTGGGTGAGTGCCAAAACATTTGTGATAGAGTTGCTGTTAATGCCAGCAGCCTCCATGTCGGTCCTTGGTGGTGTGCCTCAAAGGCAAGCTAGAAATTTTTCATAGGATGCAAGGATTCTGTTTTGTGATCTCAGTGGGACAAAGAAGGCAAGAGAGCTCCCATGGAAACAAGTAAAGGTCCCTAGATGTGTGTCAAATGCCAGGGTAAGACTGGAGACAGGCTGTTTAAAAGTTGATGCCTGGGTCCGTATTCTATCAATACATACCTGGCTAAAGGGGTATCTCAACCCACAAGGTTTACTCCCTCTGATACTCTGCAACAATTTCCAATCAAATTGGTCTAAGTCTGTTCAGAGCTATCTGCTGAAAATAGGTTTTTCCCCCACGTGCTCTTATCTTTTGGAACAGACCAAGCAAAAATATTAGTTAAGCAGAGAATTGAGGATATAGAACACCAAACTGATCTTTCCAGCATACATTAAGATGAGGGCAATTATCAAAAATACTGTGGGTCCAGCCAACTATTTAACATCTCTTGAAGTAAAAGGGTTTAGAAGATCCTTCACTCTGGCGAGGTGCTCTGCCCTCCCTTCTGCTGTACTTGAAGGAAAATACAAGAATACTCCTTTCTCAGAAAGGCTTTGTACCTGCCCATTAAGGGAGGTTGAGACTACAGAGCACATGTTTTTTAGATGTCCGTATTATAAGGTGGTGCATAATCAAATCACTCCGCTGACCGAACAAATTCCGGACCTTTCCGAAAAAGCTAGACTCGAGTTTCTTCTATCTGATAGAAACCCCAAAATTACCCACCAAGTAGCCAGTTTCTGTATGGTGATACTCAGATCACAGAAACTCTAAGGTAGCTAGTTAGATATCGTTGTTTGATATTAGATTAAATTTTAATTTGCTTTTAATGTTTCACTGATGTATCCTAAAATCTTGGAATATTGTAAAGGTGTACTTCTTTTTGTATGACTAGTCTAAGGACTGTAGAAATAAATTGAATTTTGCTTTGACAACTATTAAGTTGGAATGAAGGGAAACAGAAAATATTATATGAAGATAGTAGTTGAATATAAGTTACCTATAATTGTGTAATGACAAGCTAGATATATGTGGAAAATTTTAAGATATGAACTGGTGGTTGAAACGCTGTGGGAAGCCAATAGAGGGGAGGGAGAATAAGAGGAAAAAAGATATAGAATTATTTAGATGTTTTAAAAGACATATGTATTATCCTAATAAAAATTTGTTACAAAAAACAAAGAAATAAATTGAATTGAACAAGTCAAGAAAGATGGGTCACTGCCAGATCACAGTCCAGGGGTCCAGCTAGTTCAGGATGTAGTTAAGGAGGCAGATGCTTCTCTGGAAAGGCCACCAGCAGAGAATGAAGGCCATTGCCCACTCCTGTCATTTTGCCCAAGCATCTGGTGCCTGGAGGTGTGCTGACTCTGGGTATGGCAGTTCTGTGTAGCTGTCCGAGTCACTGAAGACATCCATTCCTCTGTGAACTTGTCATCTGTGTCAGTGACAGTCATTGCATTTTGGCTTAATGGAACTGACCCAAGATTATTCATCTGTGCATTCCATGCAGAACCTTTAAAGAAATCAGTCCTGAACGTTTTTTTTCTTCCTTAAGATAATTTTTAAAAACAAGGATCTGTGATGTGGGTGGTGGATTGCCTAGAGCAGGCCCCTTGATCCAGTCTGTTTTGGAGCATGGCTTGGTTGCTGAAATCTAAATTCAAGGGCTGTTGACTTAGAGTGGGAAAGCCTGGGTCTTTCACCTCATCCCCCTCCCCACCACCACATTGCTGATGTTTGAAGCCTTTCTCTGTCTTATCGCTAATCTTGTCTTGCATGTATTTAGCTTTGCAGCCAATGACCTTCTACTTCTGTTGATCTGATTATCTGATGTCCTTGTGCGTGTGTTTTCCAAAGCTTTGCTTACATCTCTCTTTTTGTTATCATCTGCCGTGATGTTCCGTAATAGTCATAGCTGTCCTATGCAGGCATTTGTTTTCTGTGTGCAGTGAGAGAAAGCACCATTC